AAAAAAAACTAATTTACAAAACTTTATTAATTTTGACCTTTTTTACGCAATTCGTTACAAAAAATATTGTACCTAACTCTTTCGGAAAGAATTTTCCCGCATTCGCACTAAATGCAGCACTCCCTGCGGTCGTGCTGCAAACAAAGTGCTCATGCGGGAAAATTAACTTACCGAACTTGTTAGGTAAATAACTATTTTGTACTCATTGAATGGAAAGATAATGTTTCCAAGCATCCTCGATGCACGGGAAAACGACTTTCCCGCATCGCGGTGTTTTTTAGTTTCCGCTGGAGAGAAGGGGTTATGCGCGTTCTTCGGTTGGTAGTACTTATTGAAGTCGACGAACGTCATGTCATGGTTAACTGTCATCTGCTGTAAAATCAATTAAACCGTTGGTTGAGGGTATTTAGTGCGATTAATCGGAAACAGACGTACACTAAGTTTTACGTAAATATATAAACAAGAACTTATAACGCAATCAAATTATTTTTCAGAATTGGAACTCAAGAAAAAGTAAAATTTATTGTTAAAACGTCTTAAAATGTGACCAGTGATATTCTGCAACTATTCGCATATGCAGTTTAAGAAAGCACATATTAACACACACAAAGCTTCCAAGGATTTTAAATGTAACGAGTGTATTTACGCAACTCAAGATATTCAGTACAAACGATGCAATGCCGTGACCAATAGTAGCACTCATTGCAAAGGCAAAATATGTATTAACCAAAGATGTGGAAGTTTTAAATGTGACCAGTGCATTATTAAAAGTGGGTAGTTACAAAACTATGTTACCAACCAAACATGATTGTGTTACCAACTCATGATTAAAAAAAAGCTAATTTACAAAACTTTATTAATTTTGACCTTTTTTTACGCAATTCGTTACAAAAAATATTGTACCTAACTCTTTCGGAAAGAATTTTCCCGCATTCGCACTAAATGCAGCACTCCCTACGGTCGTGCTGCAAACAAAGTGCTCATACGGGAAAATTAACTTACCGAACTTGTTAGGTAAATAACTATTCCATGTCCCGAATTGTATTAGAATAATGTTATTTCTTTGCTTCAGGGCTTACCAGTTTGCTTACAGGTGTTCATTCACATTTAATTTTTTCTACTAGTTAGCTTAATCCAAATAAATCTTTTCTCTAAATACTTTCATTGACTACTTGACTACAAACTATAAACAAATGCATTTGATTTTTTTAGGTATTAGTTCTCTTGAATGAAATTGGGCTACGTGCTTGTTGCCGAATATTATTGAGGAAGTTTTTTTTTTAAATTAAAAGTTACTTGAAATTGTTTTGGATGATACCTAACAATAATTTAATTACTGGGCTACCGGGTCAGGACGGGTCACTGAGTAAAGATGGGTCACTGGGTCAAGCTGGGTCACCGGGTGAAGCTGGGTCACCGGGTCAAGCTGGGCCACCGGGTCAAGCTGGGTCACTGGGTCAGTAAACTCACTGGGTCACTCTATGCTTGACCCAGTCCAACTCTGGTCATAACTAGGGATGGGTGATAACTGTTTTCACCTATCGATGGTTATCGATATATCGAAATATCGATAACTGTCGATATATCGATAAGTATGAGTATATCGACAGTTATCGATATGTCGATAGTTATCGATATATCGCTAGTTATCGATATATGAATACTATCGATATATCGATAGGTATCGATATATCGATAAGTATCGATATGTCGATAGTTATCGCTAGGGATGGGCGATAACTGTTTTCACCTATCGAGAAGTATGGGCTACTTACCTATCGATACATTTTACTTATCGATAAGTATTTTATTTCATATTTGCAAAATTCGGAAACTATCGTTTCTTTTATAGTGTTTGGTTCAAAATAATGACCAGTGTCCAGACTCCAGATGGTGTGTTGCTGAAGAAGATGTAGTATGATGTTTAATTGCCAACAACTGCTCTTGTACTCTGACATTTAGTCTCCTATTAGTCTGACCTATGTATGATATCATACAATTAGTACAATGAATTTCGTAAACTCCTTGTTTTTACCTGGGATATTGTCTTTGGGATTTCTAAGGAGATGTTGTAGAGAACGGTGAGGTTTAAAACATACGCTAAATTTATCTTTAGGAAATGTGTTGGCAATTTTATCTATGATGCCTCTTATGTAAGGTAGGACAAACGATTTTTTGGGTTATTAGTTGGGTGTGGTGGGTTTTATTGAAAGATTATTACACCCTTTGATTGTCTTCTTTATTTTATCTAAAGAGTAGCCATTTTGATGCAACATTTTGTTCAAGTTTTTGAAGTTTTTCTTTTTTTTGAGCCATCGTCAGTAAGACGAAAAGATATAATTTCTAAAGATTTTATTACTGCGTGGATTTGGCATGGATGATGATGTGACGTAACGCTTCTCTTGAGAAAGGGAGCAAAGTTAAGTTTCCGAAACGTCGAGGAACTAAAAGTGGTAACTTTACACGAGAGTAAGCCCGAAAATGGATTTTATTAATAAAAATAGTAGCGCTCGTTTAAATCTCAACAATAACATAATCTTATCGTACCAATAGTTATCGACATATCGATATGTCAATAGTTATCGACATATCGATATATCAATAGTTATCGACATATCGATATATCAATAGTTATCGACATATCGATATATCAATAGTTATCGACATATCGATATATCAATAGTTATCGACATATCGATATATCAATAGTTATCGATATATCGATTTTTTTAGCTCTGCCTGTTGTTATTCGATATATCAAAAAAAATTCCCATGCCTAGTCATAACTCTACTTAAGAGATAAGTTGTAAAATGTCATTCTTATTCTTACGTACCGATTGAATTGAATAAGGAGCTTAATTTGTGTTTACTGACTTTAGATAATAAATGAATGTAATAACAATAAGTATTAGTAATAAACACATACAGAAGTAGAAAAAAAAGCGTCCGAAGACGTTAAACGGTGAAGAGCGCTTTTTGGTCTGGGCTGAGCTAGGAAGCTTTTCTGTCAAGAATTTGGGACATTTTTTTTCTCCTCTAATAATAGACGAATTAGTTAATTTTCAGTTGTATTTCTCATTATTTTATCAAAAATTCGGCAATAAATCCAATTCATACCGAAACGAAAAATAACGAGGGGGATTTTTGAAACATTTTTTTGCAAATACGTAAAATTTTTATTAAATTATTCGAAAGACCTTATTTTTCTGTGTAAACCTACAAAAATTGCACCAGGTTTTATTATAAAACAAGTTAAAAAGTAATCGTAAACGATTTACATAAAGCGCATTTCCACTTGCATTCATTTCCCATTTGTAAATGCAACTTCTGTTAAAATCGTACAAATCCGTCCACAAATATGAAAGATAGCGTTGCACATGGGCAATCCATTTTTGACGTGATACTTCAATTTCAGTTTATGAGAAGAATTTCATTTCAATGCTTTTCTAAATAAGAAAGTTGGAACTGCGCATGCGCAAACCTAAATTTTAAAACTAATGTTAGATTTTCCTTAGTTCCAAGCGCCTAAGTATCAAATTTCACTTAAATGCTTCCATAGATAAAAAAGTTGGCACTGCGCATGCGCAAAATAAAATTTTGAAACTGTCGCTAGATTTTCCTTTATTCCAAGCACCTATGTACCACATTTCATTGAAATTCTTCCATAAATAAAAAAGTTGGCACTGCGCATGCACAAAATAAAATTTTGAAACTGGCGCTAGATTTTCCTTTATTCCAAGTGCCTATGTATCACATTTCATTTAAATTCTTCCATAAATAAAAAAGTTGGCACTGCGCATGCGCAAAACCAAATTTTGAAATTGGCGTTTGATTTTCCTTTATCCCAAGTGCCTATGTATCAAATTTCGTTTAAATTCTTCCATAAATAAAAAAGTTGGCACTGCGCATGCGCAAAACCAAATTTTGAAATTGGCGTTTGTTTTCCTTTATTCGAAGTGCTTATGTATCAAATTTCGTTTAAATTCTTCCATAAATAAAAAAGTTGGCACTGCGCATGCGCAAAACCAAATTTTGAAATTGGCGTTTGATTTTCCTTTATCCCAAGTGCCTATGTATCAAATTTCGTTTAAATTCTTCCATAAATAAAAAAGTTGGCACTGCGCATGCGCAAAACCAAATTTTGAAATTGGCGTTTGATTTTCCTTTATCCCAAGTGCCTATGTATCAAATTTCGTTTAAATTCTTCCATAAATAAAAAAGTTGGCACTGCGCATGCGCAAAGCCAAATTTTGAAATTGGCGTTTGATTTTCCTTTATCCCAAGTGCCTATGTATCAAATTTCGTTTAAATTCTTCCATAAATAAAAAAGTTGCCACTGCGCATGCGCAAAACCAAATTTTGAAATTGGCGTTTGATTTTCCTTTATCCCAAGTGCCTATGTATCAAATTTCGTTTAAATTCTCCATAAATAAAAAAGTTGGCACTGCGCATGCGCAAAACCAAATTTTGAAATTGGCGTTTGATTATCCTTTATTCCAAGTGCCTATGTATCAAATTTCATTCAAATACTTTTATAAGTAAAAAAGTTGCAATTCGGTTTATAAATGGTCGAGATGCGAAAAGGGCACTGTGAATTTTGAATCGATTCGATTCAACTTTTGGCATTGCGTATTATATGGCTAAAGCTATGCCCATATTGAATTTCATGCAATTCAGTTCATAACTAACGGAGATGTAAAAGCGATCGAACATTTCTAAACAAAGTTATCGTTCACACGGACAGATAGATGGACAGACAGACAAAGGAACAGACGGAGAGACCAACCGGCAGGCGACAGATAGCAATGCAAAATTATAAACGATCTCTAGGATCGTTAATAAACGGCAAAAGTGTAAAATTATGGAACATGTAAAAAACGGTTTTTTGTTTTTTTTACAATAACTTTTTTTGTAAGCGGTACAGAAAAAATTCCTTCCTTGGTACAAGACTCGACACCATAACCAACCAAATAGCGAAAAAAGTAGAACAATAGCTCTTNGACGTGACCTGTGGTTCTTAAATACATCGTAGTCGATATTAACATCAGGGTACTCTTCGGAAAACTGTTCAATGCACGATTGCAGTGAATAGCTCCAAGTTCCATCAGGATTTCGGTTACCACTGCGGAAATGTGCCATTAAAATAAAAGCATCTTGCTCTGGTGTGAACACCATCTTCCTACAGCGATACACTAAAAATTCAGAATAACTTAATGACAATTCTCCTTAAAAAATTGTTAACTTACATCAGAATAACTTCGTAGCGTTAAGAGCTCTGAAAAGAACTGTTTTGGCTGTTGATTTAAGATAATGTTAAAGAAATTCGAAAAAAACGGTAAACACAAGCAAAGATTGACAGGAGGAGAAATAAACAAATATGCAATTTGGGTATTTTGTTTTAACCAACTGTCCGTGTCTACCAACATAAAGAAAAAATATTTAAAGCGGGAAATTTAAATTTGGTCACGTGGGTCTCAGTAATTTGATGAAGACCCGGTACTTCCGGTTATATACATAAAAAAATAAAATTATAGTTATTTTTACAAATTTAGAACAATTATATTGCTAGTTTCACCTCTTTGCCAACCTCTTATGCAGGAGGTGCACTTAGTACGGTTTTTAAATTAATTATTAGGACATGCTCCACAAACGTCCGATTAGTGCTGTTACTAGGACGAAACCTAAGCTATTAAATTCTGTATAATTACTTTAGTCTAAAAATAAAATGACATTTTATTTAGTACCTATACTGATTGTTAGTTTAAATCCTTACTTTTGCTTGCATATGTTTAACAGATGCAAAATTATACTAAATCACCTGTAATACTTAGGTGACCAATTTTTTGTTAGCCTTGGATATATTACCGTTCAGATCACTGACGAGGCGCATTATTCGTTTCGTAATTTTAAACGAATATAATGGGAAGTGGTCAGGTCAGTGATTTTTTAAGAATAGCTGCGTATAAAACATAGCGAACATAAAATTAGCCTCAAAGATTGCGTAATATAATTACTAATGTCTATTTCTATGTTACCTATCGAAGGTTTAAATTTAGTTTGTCGAATTCCATTTTAAAATCTGAAATAAACCAACCACTCACTGTGCCTAAAACAACAGTATGCATTTGCAAAATTTAAGGTTTCTTTAATCAATCCACCATACTTGTGGCCAGATCGCTAATTATAGTAGTCTATCTAAATCTAAATGGTAGCAGTGGGGACAAGAGCTCTCTTCAGTGGGAGAAGATGCAAGGGCATTTCAAGTACTTTTACGTTTATTCTAGTTGATAGTTGCAAATTGTTGTTTAATTTCCGCAAGTTTGGACTGTTTAATATCAAAATGGTTTGGGTCGAATTTGACAAGCCCAAGACTGTGGATATAGTGGAAGTCATTTCATTTTTTAAATTCTAAACTTCACGCACATAACATAATTTCAATGCATTTTTTTTTTCAGATGGACACCTCCAATGTTCCTCCATTTCAGTTGGAAGCTGGCGATGCCTCCACATATTTGGATCACATGTGTGCTCTCGATATTAGCTCCAGGGCCTCTTATGTTCGACTTACAGGAATTATATGCACCATTGGTTAGTATGCCATTTTTTTACTTCTTGCAATTTAGCGTAAACTTTCGGGCTGTGTCACTTTAATTTGTAACTTGTAGTAAAGTACCAATTGAAGGAAAAAATGTAATAAAGGTTGATTCCAAAATTCTAACTTACACCTGTTTTTTATGTCAAATTTACATTTTATTCCATTTTTAGAGTCATGTATGTTCTAAATAATTTACATGTATAGTAATAATAATTTTATTATGTATTGCTTGACAACGTGAAATACTGACTGCGCAAATGAGAGACGATTTTGAACTTTTACAGATTACTGCATTTTCAACAAACATGTATATGAAAATGACGACGGTGTTGCCAATTGTAGAATATTGTATCTTTATTTACTTCTAGTCTGACTCTTTATTTTGATTGCTTTTTCTAATGTACGGTTTTGGTCAGAAGTAATGTCCCTCGATTATCTCAAGTGTAGCACATAATTAATAAACCAGATTTCCTGTGAGTTTTGACCTTCTTTTCAAAATGAGGAAAGTCTAAGATTGAAATGATATTGAACTAAATCACGGAGGAACTGACATATTCGTACTTTTTCTACAGTTGAGGTAGGTATCTGAGAGAGTACATTATTTTTGACCACGACTTTACCTGTAATTGCTATACGTTTCACGTCGGCCAACTTGAGCTCCTTTCCTCACGGATGGCCCTCATACATACCCCCCACACCATTCTCACAAAAAATAGGCCTTAACTAAATAATTATTGCGTACCTAATGCACCGCTTATGAATATGTTTAATGTATTTTTTTTTTAATCGTTAAATAATGAAATGAGAACGTTAAGCTAGAAATACACATACTAGTAACTTGCACACTGGTACACTTGTACCATTGTATACAGGGTGGTGCCTAGCGCGACGCTGCATAGGGATTTCAATGGTAATTTCTTTATAGTCAATTACTAGCTCCCCAAATTATTTTAGAGCAAAAGTCTAAATGCGTTTTTTTAGAGAAAAAATACTGCATCTGTTCATACTTTTAGTTATAATTTCCCATTTTTCAAAACCGTAGAAATCGACAAAATAAAAAATTACATTTTTATAAATCAGTGATGCTTTGGAATCTTTTAACAAACTACAAGCGCATCGCATCTAAGTTATTGTCGTTTGACGTCGAACGATTTTCATATTTAATTTTGTTTCAACTAACCGACGCAATAAAAGACGACAAGAACAAACGTGCCAGTAGTTAGCTGGTGTAGAATGTACAGGGCGGCCCATTTTCCCACTTATAGGCGGAAATAAAAAAAATGTTCATTACAAAACTTCCTTTATAGGTAATGGTTGCTAAATAATATGCTGTTTTCAAAACAAGTATACGTGGTCAGGTAAAAATGATTGGACCTAACCTCACTTTTTAAATGAAACACCCTGTATATTTTGCTCTAAAAGGATACAATATTAAACTCCTTTGGAAGATTCAAAGTAATTCAAAAAAGATTAAAAACCGAATTAAAAAAAAGAATAAATTATTTGAAAAAAATACAAGAAATTTCAAAAGGATGTTTCAATTTTTTGTTTTTTTAAATCTTTTTTGAACCAATATTGAAGATGAGCCAAGATCCAACGTTTGGGCACTTTTTTGTTTGTTTGTAATTTAGAAACTATTAGAGATCAGTGTACACAAAATTAATGTAGATAAAATTGTATACATTTTAAAAAAATTAAAGAAGAAATCCAAATTTCACCACTTCTTGGGGGGTAGCTCTCAAACGAAACACGTTGGACCATCGGTTTATTTGGAAAAAGTGCTTGTCTTGATCCCCTTTATCACCCAATTTTTTTTACATGTGGTCATGTAACACCCTGTATATGTATGTGTATATGTACAGGGTGGTGACTTGCGTAACGCATCATAGGGATTTCAATGTAAAATTCATAACATGCGATTATTGGCTCCCCAAATTATTTTAGAACAAAAATGTATTAAAGTTTTTTGTAGGAAAAAATTTTTTACGCCAAATCAACCCGTCAACCGTATTAGTTTTCAATTTTTTTCATATAAAGACGGAAAATTGGATAAATAAAACCCGCATCTTTTTCAATAATGTGCTGATGTTTCTAAAACAAAAAGTAACCCTTCTGTTATTTTTGATATCACATTTATTGCTTGTAATAGAAAATACGTTTATAAAATTTGTTAAATAAAATAAAAATGTATTCATTATCCGAGAAAATTGAAATGGTGAAATGGTTTATGCGGGAAATTGTGCTTCTATAACACATTGCTCCAGCTGCTGCAGAAGTTATGAAAAATTTATTCCGGGCAAACTTTTGAAAATGTTAGAGAGTTAAGAATTAAAATTCAAAAGAATGTCCTAAGATATTCAGTTATCAACTAGCAACAGTTCGAAATGGATTTTATGATCAACTTGGTTACTGTCTTACAGTTAATGGTGACTAATTCGAACATTGATTGTAAATTGTTATATTAGGAAACCGTTTTTTGTAATTTGGTCTTTTTTTATGTTGAATTCTGTTCTGTTCTAAATATAATACTTTTTGATAGAATTTGGTTGGTTTTATAGCAGACATTCCATTGACGGATGTTTAGTTTTAATACGGTTGATTGACGTAAAAAAATTTTTCCTACAAAAAACCTTGATACAATGATACATTTTTGCTCTAAAATAATTTGGGGAACCAATAATCGCATGTTTGAATTTTACATTGAAATCCCTATGATGCGTTACGCAAGTCACCACTCTGTATATATGATTGATTTTTTACCCATAACTCGCTTTTGTTTTTACCTATCAAGGCCTTCAAGAAACTAATATGTTTTCATAAACTATATTTACCCAAAATCGTCCTGAAACCTTCATTTTCATGCCTTTCTGTTTGGAAATTTTACTTTCCATGAGAGGGCAGAGCAGACTGCGTTTCCTGCCGCTTGTGACTTTACTGGCCGCACCTGTCACTTTACCGGCCGCACCTGTCACTTTACCGGTCGCACAGCAAATTGCAAAAAATCGGCTGAAAATGCGGTCTTGACAATCACTCGCGAATAAGTTGAAAAGTATTAACTTTCCGGAAAAGCTTTGTAAGTTACTTAGTATTTGTCAATTCAATCAGTCCATTCCCTGATTTATTTTCAATGAAACATTTTTCACCCTGAGAAGGGGTTGCGTTTAACCCTCAGAGAAAAAGTACCACTGTACAGGATAGACGTAGAAGAAGAGGGTAAAGCGAACATATATCCAAATTTGTATGAAAATCGGTGGTGTTTACACGTGAAAACGATATTGCTGTACTGTAAACACAATTGTCATGTATATAAACCATAAATAAACAAAATAGCCATTCAATAAATGTATAAATATTTTTTTAGGCTATCATCACAAAAGCGTTGATTTTATGGTCGCTTTTGCGGCCATAAAGTTTCACTTTATTGTACGCTTCTGTCAAACTTTACTTTATTGTACACATCTGTCAAACTGTACTTATTTGAAACTGATGTGTGAGAAACAGTAATCTGTTTGATACAAAGCGTCTATCTGGTGTAGCCCCATCAAGGATTGGGCCATTCACGTGCGTTTTTTTCATTTTCGGACTTGTAGGAATGTTTCACACTATTTTGCATAATCACAATCTTCACATTTAAAATTATAGTTTGACGTTTCAATCTTTGCTGCTTGCAGACCTTTTTGAAGTGTAGAACCAAAACATGAGGAAGATGTTATTGCTTACATTATTATACGAAGAATCACCAGCAATTAACTGAGAACACAAGTAGTTACCTATACCTGCCATCAAAGTAGGTAATCAGGTTTCTAATAATTGTACAGCATGTTAACTATAAGGTCTTGGAAGCCACAGTTACGAAGGACCTATTGCATTTGACATTATTAAAATCTTGTGCAACGGAGGAAGTTGTGATTGTACTTTTACTCTCAAACGCCTGCTCTTATATCATATATGACTTAGGGTCGCAACGCTTGCAGCTTCCAAAATTTCATTTGGGGTATCTGAACTGTCGCTATCGCCCATTTTGATACGCACAAAACACACGCAAAGATGCTAATTATAATTACATATGACAGGAAATGCTTTGTTTTTAATTGTCTAAGATAACTATGATTTTCAGAAAAAATATGTTTATGAGCAAATTTTTGAATTCTTTTTTGATGATCGCCTAAAAAATGTTGTGTGCACCTTGGCCAAAAGTGATTTGTTAGGCCTCATCTGAATTGCGGCCTCGGCTACCGCCTCGGCCGCAAACAGCAGCTTCGGCCAAAAAAGATCACTTTTACGGCCTTGGTACACAAATAACTATTTTATTATACCTGAATCACAATCTCCGTTTTAAACACTCAAATGCGTGCGAAAAAGGGCCTTTAAAACACACGTGCTTTAAAGTTGCTAAGTAACGATACTTCAAGTATGACTTTTGAAACTGTCATCTGGATGAAATAAAAAATCCTCTTAGGTCGCTTTCTGTAAATGCAGAACATTTCTTTGGCTTTTGTACCTATCCTTTGGTTGAAGCTTTCACAAACGCGCGTAATTTAGGGTATGCTTCCAAATCTGTTCCACTTTTTAATCGCAGCATTGTTTTAAAGTTTTGAATGAATGCACCAAAATATAGAAGATTTAAGTAAATACCTTTGACATTTCCTTCATATATGCCAGCATTATGGATGCATTTAAGACTGTATTCGTAGGTAACTTCCTATTCATCCATGGAAACAACTTTTCATATTCTTTATAACAGGCTTTACTGGATTTGGATTTTACACCTACCAATGTTTGTTTAGATTTTACAAGCGATTTAATGGACGATGTATTATCTTTTTCAACGGAAATCGTTTTATTTACAAAGATGATGATTATAAGCAAACGTCAAGTGACATTTCCATGGCAATCGTGAAATTTCGAACACCCAGCCCACTTAATTAAACATGTATTCGAGTATAACGTCAATATGACTTCATTGTATTTCCTATTTTTAAATTATACTGCAGGTATAATAAAAAATACTATAAGATACACGTGTATAATTAGTCTTTAAAGCACTTACAACGTTAAAGGCACTCCGCTTTGCGTCGTGCCCTTAAACTCGTTGCGCGTGCTTTAAAGACTTGATTATACACTTGTATCTTAATATACTATTGTTAATTGATTTTGGAGTAAGAACTTCTGTACAATGGGATTTCAAGTTATACCTATAGCAAAGAGATCTTTACCTGTAGTGAATGATTTTGGTAGTAAGGCACATGGATTCATATATCAGTCCTTGTGTGTGCAAGATATTGGTCTTTTAATTTCTATTTATGAATTCTTAACGAAAGTATTTCGAAAAATCAATCACTTGTACCGAATTGTTTAATGTAATATTGTATTTTCAGGACCGGCATCTCGGGAACCTGAAATATTAGAAAAAATGATGGACATTGGCATGAACGTTGCTCGATTAAATTTTTCTCATGGATCTCATGAATATCACGCCGAGACGATAAAGAATATTCGTACGGCTGTTGCCAATTACAGCAAGAAAATTGGTATGATTTACCCCTTGGCCATTGCATTGGATACGAAAGGGCCCGAAATTCGTACTGGTCTTCTGGAAGGAGTGAGTACTTTTAAATTGAGAGTTTATGTTATTCCAATACTTAAATTGTGCAGGGTGGTTCGGCCGAAGTGGAACTTAAAAAGGGAGATTTAATTAAACTTACAACGGATAAGGCCTATGCTGATAAGGGAAATGCACAAGTTGTCTACGTAGACTATGACAATATTCAAAAGGTTGTCCAACCAGGAAACCACATCTACATCGACGATGGATTAATCTCTGTAATGGTAACATCTATACAAGGTTCTTTCGTAACTTGTACCATTGAAAATGGTGGTATGTTGGGAAGTCGAAAAGGAGTGAACCTTCCGGGAGTGCCCGTCGACTTACCAGCTATTTCCGAAAAAGACATATCTGATCTCAGATTTGGCGTCGAACAAAAGGTGGACATGATATTTGCATCATTCATACGAAACGGTGGTGCCCTCAACGAAATTCGTGACATTCTCGGTGAAGAGGGCAAACGGATTTTAATCATATCGAAAATAGAAAATCAACAGGGCATGCAAAATTTAAATGACATCATCGACGCCTCTGACGGTATTATGGTAGCCCGTGGAGATTTGGGTATTGAAATACCTACCGAAAAAGTATTCTTAGCACAAAAATGTATGATCGCTAGATGTAATGATAAGGGAAAACCTGTGATTTGTGCAACGCAAATGTTGGAGTCGATGGTGAAAAAACCAAGACCCACACGTGCAGAGAGTTCCGATGTTGCCAACGCTGTTCTTGATGGTGCTGACTGTGTTATGTTGTCCGGGGAGACAGCAAAAGGAGATTATCCAATTGTCTGTGTGCAAACTATGGCAAACATATGTAAGGAAGCGGAAGCTGCAGTATGGCAGAAGCAAACCTTTATCGATTTGTTAACTAAAGTAAGTAAATATGTGGTTTTGTTTTTGGGAATGTATTGTGTTATTTTACAACATTGAACTATACAATACACATAATTGGAACAGATGCACAATGGTACAACCTGCAAGGTGGTGTATACAGTCTGTTTCAAATGAAGTCGGCATGATTGCCAACTTTCTTAATTGTAGAGTTAGAAAGACTGTTACATTATCAAAATTGTGGATTTTTTTCTACTGAATCCAAATCTGTAATTTAAAAAACAAAACACATCACATTTTTCAGTTAACAACAAGCAACAGGTTATTACAAAAGTTCTTAATGCACCATAGCAAAAATACTTCAAATAACCAAGATCTTTTAGTTATTTTGATTAGTTATCCATGAAAATGATAAAATAACTTTGTTCACATTAGTCCATTGATCCTAAATGTATCCTCCAGTATTGATATATGTGTCCCTTAAATCGTGGAAAACACAAACTTCAAGTTTATTTTGCGATAATTTTCAACATTCTCTTTATTTTACCAAAGTGTATCAGCAAGAAGTTTATCTTTTAAAATAATCTCGAAGTTTGTGTTTTCCATGTTTTAAGAGACATATATACATATGTAATACTGGAGGATACATTTAGGAGCAATGTACTAATGCGAATAAACAACGTCATTTTGTCATTTTTATGGATAACTAGATCGAAATGAAAATAAATGAGAAATCTTAATTATTTGAAATATTTTGGCTATGGTGCATTAAGAGCTTTTGAAACAAGGTTAAATACCTATAATAGCCAAAATAAACTCAAACAAATCTAATTTTGCATTAAATTTTCAAAAATTTACCATTACTCACACTTTTGTGTGATTAATAAAAATATGTTTGTCCTATCTTGCCCATTCAAAATTCAATGTCTAGACCTGTACAGATGCTTTTATTTCATAGCAACCAACCTAATGTTTTTGTATAAATTTTGGTTTATTATCAATTTTAGGGGGGTTCAGTAACCATGGAAGTGTGATATGTCTTTTCGAATTCACCAAATATTAAATAAAAAATGCAAGTCCGTCTCTGTCTCTTTAGTTACAATCTAAATCTTGTGCACTCTCATGGTTTTCTGTAAAACCTAACAGTTTCTATAATATGTGATGTTGGTCATAAATGTAAGAAATGTGCACTTTTAAAATATTGTACCTACCTACTACAGTTTGCCATACTTAAGTTTTGTTTGAGGTTTTTCTGGATAATTAAGGGATTTTATTTTGATTCTTTACTTTACAACAGAAAATAAATACATTTTGTATAATATACGTTTTAAATTGTGACAGATTTATCCAGATACCAACTATTAGTAAACATAGGGAGATATCGGCTTCTCTTTCACAAGAATTACACTTGCTAGTAACTAAATTTGTAATCTTTCATCTTTGCACGCATCAAATATTTAAACTTTACATAGTAGAAATGTACCCATAAATCAAAATCATAAAAAAAAAATCTATGTTAAAAAAGGAGAACTATTTACTTTTTTGTACAAGAAGCAGAACAAATTTTTTTGAAATTGATATTTACAGGAAAAGTGTCTTGTAATAAATGTTCACTTCCTTTGAAAATTAATTTTATCAATTTTTATTTTAGACAACGCCGCCAATTGATGCAACACATACGATTGCAATTGCTGCCGTTGAAGCTTCAACAAAATGTCTGGCCGCAGCTATTGTCATTTTGACAACGTCCGGAAGATCGGCGCATTTGATTTCGAAATATAAACCAAAGTGTCCGATCATTGCGGTAACGCGTAACGCCCAAACCGCACGTCAAGCACATCTGTTCAGAGGAATTCTACCGCTGCAATTTGAAGGTATCATTTTAATATTCAACAATATCCATATTAACTTTTGTTTTAAAATTTAGATGCGCGATTAAGCGATTGGTTGAAAGATGTCGATGCTCGCGTTCAATTTGGGATTACCTTTGGTAAGGCACGTGGATTTATAAAGAGTGGCGATCCAGTCATAGTGATCACCGGTTGGAAGCAAGGCTCTGGATTTACCAATACTTTACGCATTGTGTATGTATCAGATATTGTGGAACCTGTGGTGTTTTAAATGATCCGGCCTCGTATTGTGTTATGTTTATACCCTTGCATGTATCCTAATTCTCCCAATATATTATTTGATTGATATAACCTTATTTTTGTAAATGGCAGCTCTGTTTGCGTAAATACTAATGGAAGAATTACCTAATGATATTGAAATAAAGTGTAAGTGATAATTTATGACACTAACAGCTTTTTATTAGGTATGTGTTAATTTGTGATGTAATCATGGGACCCGAATTGCATGTTAGATATTAAAGCAATCCCATAGAAATGTATCAATTATTGATAAATTAAAGAAATTGTAAAATAATATGCAGTGAGATTCTGTGGGATGGTTTCATAATTACTAATACCTGTAACCTACTAACCAGCAGTTAATTATTTCATTGTTGCAATGTGGCTATCAATTTTGCGAAAACTGGCTTGTAATAACAAAGTATAAACAATGAAGTATGCTGGAGCTTTTGTATTGAATTAAAGAAATTGTAAAGTCATATTTCTCACTTGAAATGAACTAAAACATCTTAGTTTAATTTGTTTTAATCCTTTTTACTGCACTCCAATAGAGTTTCAGATATTCATTGTCAAAAAATAATATGCACATTTCATAATCTTAACAAACAAAATCAACTGGCTTTCTCTTTTTATGGGAGCTGCCATTATTTTTTTGCACATTTTATTTTAATCCTCTTTTTTTTTCTTTACAGCAATGCGGAATAACATTATAACCAATAGATAGTGTGCTAGTGTGGTGTTTAATAATTATTAGGTACCATGTATTATTTTTGTAATAGAGGAAGGTCTAAAATTAGATTAATTGACCTTTACTAAAGAAGTGGATGTATTATATTCCTTAAAATAGTGTTCTAAATTTGAGAAAATAGAACAAGTTTTGTATTATTAGTAATATTGCAAGGCAATAATTTGTTATTCTGCCACTTGTATTTATGTATTTAACTCCAAATAAAGTTCACTATATTTCACACTGATTTTTTATGTCTGGACTCTACTTCTGGGTGAATAATTTTATTCAATGGTTTACCATTGGAATTTAATAGTTATAAATTCAATGGTTTAACCTTTGTTATCCTTCCAATTTTTGCCCTTGTATTTACTTGAAACCTCTTTTTGATGGGTAGCACCATATTTTTGAAGGTATTTTTATATTTCATGAGTAAGTATTTAATATCTACAAGGGCTGTTTTTGTTCAATTTCCAATTAACCAGTATGTAAAATTTAGGAGTGCTTAAACGCTATAGATAGATTAAAATTGTATCAAGGTATGTAAATAAATTACTAGATATTATAATTAATTTTAGAGCTAATCGAACCTTACAAAAAGTAGTCTTTTTCATATTTTAAAGCGCAGGTATCGCACTGCAGACTATTAGTGTGACGTCACATTTGAGCGGGAAATTAGAATTGCAGAACTTGACTGTTTTACTGTCGAAGATATTGACCCCTATCGCTCCATGCATTAAGTATCACTTTCAAATAGGTCCTCTTTACGGGCTTATACTGACTGACCTTAATGCTATGACATACTATGCTGAAAACCGCATGCCGGAAAATGAAAAACCGCGTCATGTATAATTAAATGCATAAAGACATACTACGTGCGTTTTGCGGTCGCCGCATATAAATGCGGTATGCTGCCGCAACTTGTCGGCGGGAATGCGGTTGCGGTAAGTGAGAGAACACAAAGAAACAGATATTCGATGACATACTAGCCGCAACGTTTCTGCCGGCAAGTAGTAGTGTCTTGAAAAATGTCTGAAAACCACCATAACTTCTGATATCTGCGTAAAAAGTATTAAAATTATCGGGATGTAGTCGATGATATGGGTGCACGGAATATCTCCTCCTTGGGTTGCTGAGTAACCCTTCTGCTTCCGCTGCACATACAGCTTTTGTATGCGTCCATTCTCTCCGAAAATTATTCAATAACTGCAGTAGCAAGGTACTATTTTCTGCGCCGGCATGCGGTTCCCGCATATAGTAGGTATGTCATAAAATGAAAAATGCGGGAACCGCTCAAATTTGCGGCTGCGATTTACCGCATGCGGTTTCCAGCATAGTATGTCATAGCACTTATGCGAATTAAATCAGCATATGGACCCTCTTATGTCGAAAAACTGAGTACTTAATTTTAAAACAGAATCGTTAAATAAAATCAATTAATTGTGTTATAATACAAAATTAAAAATATGCCTTTTCTAAAAAATCACGAAGCACGCAATCGCCTTCTTTCTAACCTGGCGATTTTACGATTTTGCGAGGACTGATGGGCTATTGGGTCATGTGGAAATGTTTACACTTTAAACGAAGATACTTTTTCATTAGCACTGAAAATACTTCGCAGTGCGGGCTAATGAAAAAGTATCCTTGTGGAAACAGTTCCATATGAACGAATAGCATCGGTCCTCCAAAATCGCAGGGCGATTGGGACTAGTAGTGAGATACCGAAATTTCGTCGCCGATACTGTATGCGGGAAGTATGCGTGTGAGAACGACTCCATAAGTAGATGCAATGTTTCAGGTGTATCCGAGATACTGCGATATCCGGGCGATTGTATCGCCGTGTAAAAGCGGTGTTATGTACTGTAGCTATGTATTGTTACAACACTGTATACTGTATGTAAGAATTTTTTTATACAATGATATGTAAGTGAGCGTCAGTCATGCAAAACTGTCAGTAGCTGACGTTACAAACAGAACATAAATAAACATAATTTGATAATTCAATTTAAATTTCCAGTATTCAGGCACTACCTTTTCAAAATGGAAACATACACAAAATGTCCAAAATTACCATGGGTAGTAAAAAAAACGTACTTTATTTTTAAGATGAAGATTTGCTTTTAGATGATTGATTTTCATTCTACCGCCGCTGGTCGTGAGAAATATCCAATTTTTAACTCTCAGCTTCAAGCAGCATTTGCACCCACATCTATAGAGCACAGCATCAATTTAAACACGCGATCTAAAGTTTCAAAAAAAAGGTTAACTTCAATTATCTGTACAGTAGGTAGGTGATCTAATGCTGGCGCGTTAAATGCAAGGCGGTAGAAATAAAACCGTTTGCTTTTTATAGACAGAAACACTCACAGCGCAGAAAATTTTCAATGCATGATGGAGGCGGGAATGTGTGCCATTAGAATAAAAATTGGCGATTTGACACACATTGAATGTAATGATGTTATACAAACTATTAGGGAGGCTATAGACAAGTATAGTACAAAAATTGGTTGTGTGTACTCATTGCCCATAGGTATAGAGATTAAAGGTTCTGACATTCGCATTGGCACCTTAAAGCAGGTGATGATAGATACAATGTATCATTTTCATTTCAAAATCACAAGCGTTTTAGAATTTTCCACAAGAGATAACACTAACAAAAGGAAATCCAGTTAGTCTTACAGTAGATCCGGGATATGAAGAGCTAGTTACAGAAACAATGATTTATGTTGATTACCCAAATATGATTGAGCTTATTGCGCCCGAGGACAGGATATATATCAACAATGGAAAGATTCGCTTGTCTGTTACTGAAATTGGTAATCAAGATTATTGGCTACTAATTTCAATGTTTATTTATTTCTGATGTGGTGATTGCAGTGGGGGACGAAGTAAAGTGTTTTGTGGAAACTTCAGGAAAATTAGTATCTAATTGTAATATACGGTTTCCCGATTTTCCCGTAGATGTTCCTGAAATAAGCGAACAAGATCTATCAGATATAATGTTCGCTATAAATGAAAAGATTGACATTATGTTTGTGCCCGGTATGAAAACGAGGGAATCCGTTAAAAAGTTAAAAGCGTTTCTAGGTATTGTAGCTATATATTGCTGTGCAATAGTACCTAAAGTGTTCATATTACAGGCAGCGAAGGGCAACACATCATGATCATATCAAAAATTGATAGTTTTCAAGCTTTATTAAATGTTCAAGGTATTGTGGATGAATCGGATGGCGTAGTCATAAATAGAATCGCACTTGCCATTGATCTTCCAGAAGAAAAAGTATTTTTAGCTCAAAAGTCAATAGTTGGATATTGCAATAAAGTAGGTTGAGTATTTTTCTGAAATAGTTACTTAGCTATTTTCTGGAAGTAGTGTTTGCTAAGTAATACCATAGTCTAAAGAAATTAACGGTAATACACTAGGTATATATCCACTGTTTATTTAAACAAATATTTGTGCCGACTGCCGAATATTTCCAATGTGTGCCTTTCAATGCTTGTTAATCGTCTAAATACTCGTATATATAGGCCCATAGGTTGTTGACATGGATACTTTGAACTTGGATATAAGATAGGTGTAATATAGAGGTAACGTCTGTTGGTCACAACGTCCACCACCTTACACTAACCACACCTTCGACTTCATGACATTAACTTTTAGCATTGTTATTCAATCCTTTTAATCATAAAACGTCCTCTTCAAAGATTACTCACAACCTCCATCTCTGGTCATGTACCGACGGCTACTGTTCAAGTCCCCCACGCCGTGCCGTTGGCGGTACAGATTTCTTCGTCTTTTAGTCACGACTTCCATCGTTGCCTGCTTATCACATCGTCCACTGACGCAGATCGTAACGTCCACTATTTTTTTTTGGGTTAGTGTGCTGTCACAGTCACACTATGCGTTTTTACAGCTCCAGCTAAAACGCTCCTGTTTGACAGGGTGATAATATCACATGGTAGTGTAAATGGTACCAGTGACATATGTGCGGTAGGTATCGCCGCACCAACAGGATGCCACCTCATCATGCTGCCGCTGCGCAGGATGACAAGATAACCGCAATGACACGAGGAGTTGCACGTTGATACCTTTTGATGGTCGTCATACTTGAGCGTTGCAAACGCATGTTTTTTTTAAGTTTACATACAAAATACAATGTTTGATGTAGTTCATCATGTGATGTCATATTATGTGACGACTACTTTCGGAAATCCTGATCTTGAAAAAACGGAATTTTGCAAAATCGTTTTTATTTTTTACCGAAATTTAAAAAGATATTTCAAAATAAATGACACATTATTATGGCCACTTTTTTCCCTCTACAAGATGCTAGTTTTAAATTTTAAGTCTGACGATTTGTCTCTGGATAACCAACATCATCAACCTTGTTTATTTTTCTTGCGGAAGTCATTTTAGTTTTTGTGTAATTTGATAAAGCATTTTTTTCTAATTTCAAAAATGTAAATGTCACTATTATAACTAGATTTTTTTAAAATAAAATTTGACTGCGTTATTTTCACAATCACAATTTGGAAGTCATTCTATCGCTTCAGTATTTGGTGTCCAACGGAAAGATCATCACAAAATGTGATTAGTAGCATGTGTAGTACCTATATACAATGCTAGTAGTCTATAAAAGTAACAAAATACCGACCCACAAACGTCAGAATGGACTACTCCAACACAGGTGATAATCGCTTGTCTTTGTCGACGGAGAATGGCTTATGTATTTCGTTTAATTTTTTCGTCTAGCTACTAGCTAGTAGATAAACTTAAGTAATAGGTAATCCTTCTATTGTGATCGTTTTTAATGCCCTTACCATTCGAACCAAGTGTATGTAGCAAGGGACATCAACACAACATCTTTGACCACTGCTGCTGTGTTTCGATACCAATACCAGCCAATACTCACCAATAAGTAGATCAAACTGAAAGAAAGTGGTCTTGAAGTGAACCAGTTTCGTACTGTAAAGAACGCATTTTTCTTTTCTATTAGCGATATTTTTTCGCTCGAATATATGAATCGCTGCATCATACATTTTCTACTAGCTCTAGCTACTACGCTACTAGATTTTCTTCCGCGACTTCGTACGCTCGATCTTGACGGATATATGATAATGGAAACCGAGCGTGCAGAATATAAAAATGTAAACACATCGGCAGACGGCACGGTACGACGCAAGTGACGTGGCGGTTTGGCGCATGTATCGATCGGTACCCGAAATAGTAGAGTGCGACATCAACCGAAAAAGACGTTTAAAAAACCTATAATCCGATCGGGAATTTAATCTATCCGGGGACACACAGAGACACATAAAAAATTCCATCGTACTCCTTACAGCCGTTTAGAAGGTGTTCAGTCGCAGTACAGTAGAGTTGTATATACCTATAAAGATGTATACGGAGTGGTGACTTGACGAACGTACCATAGGAATTTCAATTGCAATTTTTTTATTTCCTATTATTGGTTTTCTTATTAGTTTAGAAGTTTATTTAGGTCTTTTTGTAGAGAAAACAATTACGAATCCGTACATAAGAAAACTGTCGTGTTTATAAAGTCGATATGGAATATATGGAATTATGAAATCAAAGAAAAGGGCCTGCATTTGCCATTAGTTTTACGTTTATTACTTACTATAAAGAGTACAGCTCAGTAGAGCGAAGCGCACGGCAGCGCAGTGGAACGCATTTCAGTGCTTACACGCACATAGATCTGATGAGGAAGATGTGTTTATAATTTCCGCTTTATGCGAAGAAATAGAAAAAGGCCGCTTAGTTGCGCTGTCCATCGCTGCTCTTCCGACAAGTGTGTGCACTCTCATTTAAAACTATGTTTTAAATAAAATCCGTTCCGCTTTTATACTGCCGTCCTAAGACAAAAAGTCGCATCTGCAAAACTGCAATTTTGGGATATTGAACAATTTGTGCAAAAGTCGTATCTGCCTGTATTTGCGCAGATACGACGTTTCAGCTTAAGTTAATGTCAGATACGACTTTTAGTCTTAGGAAGTGATACAGGTAATGCAGATACAACAAAAGTTTTTAGTGAATTATACCGTACTTATTATGATGATACGACTTTTGAGCTTACCAGACGATAATATATGCATTTCACTCAAAATCGATATTTTTGCAGATACGACGTTTTGTCTTAGGAGGGCAGTATAGTGAGAGGTACCCTTAAGTAAGAGCTGTGTTTGATTAAACTGCTAAGCGCCAGTTTTGAGTTATCCAATTTCTTGGTTTCAAAGTTCAAAACATTAAAAGCTGTAGTATGCACGGATTCGTAATTTTTTTCTCTACAAAAAACCTAAATCGACTTTAGTTCTAAAATAATTAAGGAAGCCAATAATCGGAAATGAAAAAAATGCTATTGAAATTCATATGGTGCGTTGTTCAAGTCACCACCCGGTATAAGTACTGTGAGTCATGTCCCTACCCATAGAATTATAATCACTTGGTAATTCTATGTCCCTACCTATATATATACGAAAGATCAACAACGATTTCCATTTTCTCTCTTTCTTCGCTCGTTTATCACCTTCCACTTGTTTTTCATGCTTCACCTCTACTGTATTATATCCGCTCCATCGAACAAGCCGCTTTTTTCACGAACACCAATAGTTCGCACTCCTCGAGGCTCGAGCACAATATGCATGTAAAATTTCCACGAGGTGAAGGACCGGTCGGCTACGGTTTGACCCACCAAACAATGGCAGCATAAACCGCTTGTTTTTAATTTCCTCTGCCATATATGCCTTTTTTTAATGAATTTAGCCCGTTCTTATATTACCATCCATCATCTTGATCTAGCCTCTTACGATCGCAATGGTGTTATGGTGTTATCGTCCAGATTTCTATTTGGCATTGGCCACGCATACTTTCAAAATGTATAAATGTACCATTTTTTTGCAGGTAGGTAAACCAGTAATATGTTCATCACAGATTTTGGAATCATTGATAACATCCGGAGCGCAACCATCGAGCTCAGAAATTTGTGATATCGCTAATGCTGTTATAGATGGCATCGACGGTTTTTTACTGTCACGAGAAATCTCAATGGGCGAGGATCCTGTTCAAGCAATATCAAAATTAAGTTCCATATGTCGAGAAGCTGAGGCCGCTGTTTACCAAAAGCAAGTATTTTCGGAATTATCCGATACGGCGGTAGTTCCTTTGGAACCCATTTATTCGCTGGCGATATCGGCGGTGCAAGTATCCCAGAAATGCAATGCAGCCGCCATCGTCGTTCTAACGACGAGTGGTCGCTCAGCAAAAATTATAACCAGATTTAGGCCACGCTGTCCCGTGATTGCCATTACTCGCTTGGGACATGTTGCAAGACAATTGCATTTGTATCGCGGGATAGACCCTTTGCAGTACATAAGTGAATATTGTTTATTTGCTAAACTTTAATTCTACATGATTTTTCCGCAGAACCAACACACTTCTGTTGGTGCAGGGATGCAGATGACCGTATGCAGTATGGAATTACCTGGGGAAAAGTGAATGGTTTTATACGTGTAGGAGACGCCATTGTAATATTAGCGGCTGCAAGACCAGGTGTTGGGTTTACGAACTTTATCCAAGTAATATACGCATCTGAATTTGATACCATACCCAGTTAGGATTTGACGTTCAAATAAACACCCAATTTGTGTAGCCTATTAAAACATAATTAAACTGTCTAGCGGACCAATTTATAGGTAGGTACTACATTAAAAATAGTTTATTTGTGAAAGCATAAGCATCGCTTTTGCTTTCTCAACCGAAATTACTTATGGTTTGAATATACTCGTACTAAACTGTTTTTTTAAATAAATGAATACCTATACCTTTTTACTATACAAAAGTCGATAAAGTCGAAGTCGGTGTGACTGAGTTGGTGTAACTAGCGATAGCACAACTATCATTTACTTTGCCTATACCTACTTACCTTCCTAATCTGTCTTTGAGTATCTTTTTTCAACACATTTGAAATTTTGACCACACCGAGGCTTTGAAACGTTTACATCCAAATTTTTAACCCTAACGATAGGAAATACTGTGTATGACCGGTACGACATATTTTATCTCGGACGTGAATTCCGATAGTGGAAATGAATCCTGTTTGTGTTTACATCCCACATAGCAAAGCTAACAGTGATATTCATGTTACAAGTAGACATAGGGATTTCCTATAGGAATTTCTTATGCCTATTTTCAAATGATAAAGTCTTCTGAAACGCACCTAATTTTATGCAACCAAAATAACTTTGTGCAATTTGCACAAATGTAATCTAGTTTTCATATTAGTGCTTGTTTACAGTGAACGTATACGTAAGAAATACATAGAACTTAAAAATTTCGCAAAGTTGAACTATAGAAACATACGAAGGTGTTCATGAACGTAATTTTTACGTACGTATACGTAAGCAATATACAAGTCTTGCGCATAGTCGCAAAAATTGAAAATTTTTCCAAGTTACGTACGGTTTAAGTAAGTTGCTAGTAAAAAGAAAATAAATAATTAATGTTGGTTGCCCTGTTGGGTTGGCGCAATTGAAAAAATATTTGTTTTTATGACCTTAGAGAAGGAAAGAGTTTTATGTGTTTATGAACTATGATGATAGTCTTTGATGACATTCACTTAGCCCTGGGTTGCCAGATTTCTTTCAACTCAATATAGGGAACTCTGTACAATGAGTTTCAAAAAATATATATGAAATTTTATTATGAAAAGAGAAACAAACATAGTTTAAAGACTATTATAATATAGGAATTAGGAACATAAAATTCAAATTCAGAAATAATCAGTTATGAATTAGGGATCAGCGCGGACTCCTTCCGAACGTCACGGACGAGCAAGAGCTACGTACTATATCCGATAAAACGTGTGCGCCTTGCTTTGCTAAGTACCATGCACCATGCAGAGTTAGTTTGAATTTTGAATAAAATTATATAGCAAAACAGAATTGGGTAAAAATATGAGTTTTTGTCTCATATTAAAACTCTCAATATGAGATAGGAAACTTCTTCATAATATATGAGACTCATATTAAATATAGGGTATCTGACAACCCTACTTAGACCATATAGTCCATATAGCCCATATGGAGTGCTAATTGTAACTACAATATGGTCAAGGTCATCGCTTGGGTATGTGAGTTTCAGGGTAAACGAGCCTGTCCGAAGTTGTCCGATTAGACATGATTTGAGACTGTCATAGAAAAGACTTAGGGGGGTGGAAGGATGAAGCTGAACTGAAGTGAGACAATGGCCCATATGAATAAAAGGGAGCGTATGCTTATACTTGCAAAATTCAAAGTAAATACTCGGAAGTGCTCATTCCACGAACTTATAAATTAAGATGGACACCATGATATGCACTTTTTAGTTATTTTGTAGGGGAATTTTCCTAGTGCTCAAGTTTTGAGACTATTGCAGCCTTGGAAAGTGACATGTGTTACAGTAATTTATTTAGAAAACGTGAGGTTAAATCTGGATTCACATGCATAGGAAATACAACGATACTGTAATCCGAAAGGCGTATGATTGGTCAACAATTTCAAATGTCAAGCAAATTCGAAATTGTTGGCCAATCACGCCTTTCGGATTACAGTATCGTCGGGTTTCGTATGCATGTGAATCCAGCTTAATGATCAATGCTTGTTTATTAGTTGATTTGAAATTCGCGCCAAGTGAGTGCACATCATGGCTGCCCCCATGTAGGTGTCATTTGTCAATTCAGCATTAGCAGTCCATCTTAATTTATAAGTTCGTGGCTCCTTCACACTGGGCGACTTAACAGCGCTGCTGAGCAGCAGGACAGGATGCAGTGCAGCGCTGCTAAATCATGCTAAACATGCCAGTATGAAGGGGCAGTTACGAGTATTTACTTTGAAATTTGCAAGTATAAGCATATGCTTTCTTTTATTCATACGGGCCAATTTCTTAATTTCAAACGTACATTAGAAAGCGCTACAATCTCACAGTGATTCAAATATCCCCACTAGCAAGGGTTGATAGTTGAATTATTATACATCCCCTTTGGTAAGGGTGCAGGGTAGGGGTATTTATACCACGATAAATTCAAGTTATTTTCTCATAAAACTCTTAATTATAGAGATAAAGTATAAAATTTGATTAAAACATCTAGATAGGTACAAATTTTAGAATTCTAAATATACAGTGTGTAAAGCGATGGGGTATACAAGAGGGAATTTTCTTTTAAATATTGATTTATGAAAAAAATTTATTCTTTATGATATTTTTTGCTTGCTTTGAAAGTACCAATAACGTATTTTTTAATAAAAATATGCTTTTGTAAAGCGAACCTATAAAAAGATATATGATTAAAAAACTAAAAAACCAACCAAATTTCTTTGGTTTTAAGGGTGGTACGGGGGAAGCACAGGGGTGGGAGGTCGAAACTTGGATTCTTAACCACCAGACATTCTTTCATGACAAAAAAATTGGAAATACTTCTCGTTTTGCAGGAAGTGGTCCATTTTCAGTCTCTATTTCCCGGATGGTTCACGAAAATTTTACCCTTTCCAATTATATAAAAAAAACAACATTTTCAAAATATCTTTTGTATATTAATGATTAATCATCACAGGCTTCATTTGGTAATGAAGAATGTGCTGTGAACATTTCAGCTTATTTTCAGCCTTATATAGGACAATTAATTCCTGCAAAGGCTTACAGCGCGTGCAAGAAAATGGAGGAACGGACGATTGCTCCACTGAAGCGGTCGTTTGAAATCAAGGACACAAACGGATGATTATCCCATATACCGAGGCTGATCTTTGGGTGGATTGTGGAAGTTCCTACCACCGTATACATGATTTGAGTAAATAACGTCTACTCACAACTTACAAGTAATTACCTAATACTTTTCTAGCACTAGGCATTGAAGTACCTACTGGTAGTTTCCTGAAAAGAAGTAGGTATGTGGGTAGATTCGTCTGTGTTGATATAGGACGATAGCTACCAAATCCATAAAGAATTGATGTAAATTTGTAATAAATCATTTATTAATTAAATCTATTTCCATTTACTTAAATTAATTAAAAATGTAATAATTTACTTAACTATTCAACAATATAGGTACCTGCCTTAACCGTACCAAATTAACTATTTCTAATTTGCATTGTCGATATATGCTCATGTCTTCGTTGAAATTCTTTCATGTAATTTACTAACGTTTGCACATCTTCGTATGTAACAGCATTATACAGCGAAGCTCGCATTCCACCTACCGATCTGAAAAAAAACAGTTAAAAGTGTTAAAATTGTAACAAATCTAGAACCTGTGGCCTTGGAGTTGAAACATCCTCAATTCCTCTGTTTCTTTTAGGAATAGTTTTTCTAACCTCTCATCACCATTTTCACCCCCTACTCTAAAGGGAATGTTCATTTTGCTGCGAGCAATTCTATCAATGGGGCAACTATAGAAATTATTGGAGTTTTCAATTGTACTATATAACAGACTACTCTTTGCGATTGCCTGCTCTTCCATTGCAATAATGCCCCCATTCCTCTGAATCCATTGGAAAACGCGCTCCATAACGTATACCCTATATTTCCGGTAACTTAATAGTTTAAACGTAACTATATGGTGGATACATACGAAAAGGTAGCGGGCGTGTTATGAATTGAATTTTCTTTGTTAACATTTGTGAAGTCAAATACTGAAGGACATATTTTCATGGGATTTCCTAGTAAATCTTCTCTCATAATAACCACCGTTACTCCTGCAGGACCAATGTTCTTCTGGGCACCGCCGAAAATACATCCAAACTAAAAGTAATGTGAATGTGAACCATTTAACGTTGCGATTTGAATACCTTGGAAACATCTACTTGTTCTGTCATAATACACGACGACATGTCCGTTACAAGAGGAACTCCATTCGTTTCTGGGATAAAGTGAAACTGGACACCTGAAAATCGCTCTTTATAAGATCCCTTTAAATTTTGAAATAGCTTACCGTCGACCGTTTCGTTTGCGCAATAATAGACGTAAGAAGCGTCAGGATTTAAAGTCCAAGTCGATTGATCTGGAATCTTTCCTAATTTTTTTGGAACAGGAAATGCTAGTCTAACCTCGCCATACTTCTCCGCTTCTTTAGCAGCTTTCGATGACCAAGTTCCTATAAGATGAAAAGAAGTGTCCAATTGATCACTCTGCAGTTAATTTACCCGTAACGCAGTAATCGGCCGTTCCGGTTCTATTTAACAAATTCATAGCGACGGCGGCGAACGCACCGGTACCCCCACCTTGAATGAACAGTATTTTGTAATTGTCCGGTACATTTCTAAAAATTAGAAGTTGTGAATTGATCGTCAGTTGATATAAACGCAACGTACAGTAGCTCCCGAACAGCAGTTTGAGCGTCCCTGTTTATTTTCCCATATTCTTTAGATCTATGACTCATCTCCATTATGCTCATTCCTGACCCCTCGTAGGATAATAGCTCATTTTGCACTTCCTCCAAAACCTGTTGAAGAAGTTTTTGTTCATAAAATACCAACGTAATATGTGTATTAACTAGTGAAACGAGATATAAAGTACAAGTGACGCCCTAAGCCAAACCAAGAAAGGTGCAGTGCATAAAGAAAGGCAACTAATGCATGCACAATGTGATCAGTATCAGATCTACTTTTTTAAACAATAGTTAATATTTCCGATCTCGAAAGACTGTTTTAGATACAACACAACATTTAACATAATAAGATAAGCGTCTATGGTAAGATTTTGTAAATGCTCTACATTTTGAATGTCACGATAGCACAATCCGTGCCTGTCCGTGAACGCGCCAGATAAAAGAGTGTGTTTAATTAATTTTTAATTTAGATAAACATACAAAGGTCCCACTAGATTAAATATCATCTCGAATGAGCAAATGACGTTTAGCTTGTTTGCATCAATTTGAAATCATTCAATAATGCCAGAAAATGTCTAAGAGTTAAGCTCATAAAAAATAATTAAATTTATATTTTTTATTTCTTTTAGAAAAATGGATTCAGGACTTTGGCCTAACGCGTGAGACCGGTAGGTATATCCGACGTTTAAACTCTTGCAAAACCCCATATATAAGAAATTGACACAATATCAAATAAAGGCGCTCATGACTTTTGTAACCCTACATACCTCCAAAGGTAATTTTGCAGGACCCGCTCCAAAATTTAACGATCTGTTGCTGGTTGTTGTCGCACTTCCGGCCCCCATTTCTACTTGTCACAAATTACACAAAACGTATCACGTATTTGGTATCGACTCAAAGGTACACCAAACTAAGCACTTGTGAAGTTTGATTACCTATACTTATATAAGTCCGGTTGGGTTTGATTAAAACGTTGAATTTAAAGTGGGGTGTTCTTGCATCAGCATTGATTGATGAAGTCAATCAAACTTATGAGCCCCGATAATCTGAAATAGATACATGTTTATTATTGTTAAAATGATATCTCGACCTTACACGAGACTGGCGTATACTTCTTTTTTTATATTATTCCGAAAGCATGATTTATTCCTAGATTTATTCAAATAAAAGTGATCATTAGTTAATCGTATCATATGCTTATTATTTTCAATGCCTTTTATAGGTACCTATTTTACTTTATCAAAAATTACGCAATAAATCCAATTAGCAAATCCCCCCCAAGAGACAGGGGACAAAATTTCGGGATTTAATGAAATTTGGTATTTAGATGTTGCTGTGTTTATTTCGTCTGGCAGGAAGAAATTTTTAGGAAATCTTAATTAAGATGGACAAGGGCGGTCCCTTTTTTTGTGTAATTAACATTCGTAAGTAGTTACATTTTATTACTTTGTCGTTGGTCTATGTAACGGCATAGGGATTATTGTGTCATAAATGTCATAAGAGAAATCGGTCAAGGTTGTTTTTGTTTACATTTTTATTTAATTTAACGTAGAATTTCTGGGTGTTGCTGGGCCTTTATATTTTATCAATTGTAAATGCTTAATTTAATTGACAGGTGGATGTGATTTATCGTTTTTTCTGTGCAGTTAAAAGAGATGAAATTTTATTTTTCCTAGAATTTAAGTTTGGATTTATCTCTTAATGTCTGATAACAAATTGACTTATAAAAATTATTCGACCGCTACTTTTTGGTCTATTAAAGTACGTTGAGGGGATAGTCTTTGTTGTCAACTGTGTATGATGAGTTGATATAATTTTGATTTTCGGAAGAAGGGTTTCGCCGTAAATAGGACGTTAACAAGAAAAGCGTCGCTTTTAGCCACAGTCAACGAAGAATTACGTTTCATTGAAAATAGGCTTTTAGCCACAATCAGAGCAGAGTTACATCTCGTGGAAAATTTTAAATCAGCTTTTTGCTACGTTCAGCATCGAGTTACGTTTTGTTGGAGAATTTATTTCGCTCCTTGCAAATTCCATCGTTGATTTATGGCCAGTTAGTACTCATTTGAAGCCACAGCCAGCATTGAAAGTTTTCGTTCAATGTGAGTTTAAAGATTGAAAAAGTTTCGTTTGTGAAACCGGAAGCCGAATTCGCGGTTATTTATTAAGAATCCTCAGATCTCTTATAGTTTTGTATTGTCGTCTGCCGTCCGTCCGTGTGCGCTCTAACTCTTTTTAAAAGTGGCCGATTGTGTTGAAATTTGGTGTACGGGTACTTTGGATATTAAGGACGGACGTTATTGATTTTCAGGAAGCTGGTTCAACAGAAACAAAAGTTATACGACTTCGAGTGAATCGGGAACAGGAAAAACTGCGGGCTCAATATAATAGAAATCAACTTATTTCATTCCCTAGGTCATGTATCGAGTTCGGACTTTCGCTAGATTATTCCCTATGACTCTTAGAAGTGTAACAATTCAATATACTCTTCTATGTGGTCTAGGTCAAAAGTTTTAGAGCAAAATGTACCCAAAATTATTCTTTACACATGAATTTGGAGTTGTAAAAGCTTGCAAACGCATTATCTTGATCCTGAAGGAGTACATCACGTGCACATTTGATAACCGCATGTGTGTGATTCCAAGATGTTAAATTATTTTTCTGAGGCCAAGTGGATTTTGATAAATCGCAATTATTTGCAGATCTTTGAATTGGTAATTTATGATCACCTGCATGCATGTTAATTTGAGCAGATAGACAATCCAACTCACTATTTAAATGAAATTTGATACATATGCACATAATTTATTTATGGATGCCCTCAACGGCTGATTACAACTGTTCAACTAGATTTGAAAACAAATTCACCGAAAACGTGTGAAGGATTATCCGTTTTGCGTCCGGTGATTTCACCGGTCCGTCAGTTTACCGGTCCCCTAAAAAAACGGATCGTGCGAAAGGGCCCAGGCGGCACGCGATTTTGGTTATCGATGCCGTTCCAGCTACAAATATAAATTGTGCACAACTCTTGTGCAGATAAAGCACATTTTTTAAACCGAAATAGCTTTTGTTTTGACATCACCAATGGATATATTTCTTGCAGACGTCTCAATAGTCAATCGCCCTTTGTGGTACCCTCTTCCCACAATCCATTCTTGAGGTTATAAGGGAATATACCCGATCACGATAAGAAGTCGAGGAGGAGGGCTATGGTTGGTAGAAATTAATTCCTCTCGTTGAAACCTTTCAGTAGAGTACCATGAAGGATAAAACTAGTTCCACTCCCCCCCTCCCCCTCTACCTCGTAGTTTGATAAGAGGACAGAAATAAGGGCAGTAGTTGGTAGAAAACGGTTCCTTTCGTTGAGACCTTTAGGTAATTAGAATACAATGAGAGATAAAATTAATTTTTCACCCCCCCCCCTTCAGCCCCGTCGCTCCCTCTTCTCGAAAAAGAGTCGCACGGGAAACTTATAGTTTTTGTACAAACCAATTTATTTCGATGAGACCTTTCATTAGACGTTTCACTTTCAAAAACAGCATCTCAGGAAATAATTCGTGGGGGGAGGGCTCCCCTTTTAGACAGCGAAATTTGATAGCCGTCTGGCACACCTTCAAGGTATAGGCTTATACTGCAAACAATTCCAGGACTCTAGGACCATTCCATTCCCCTAGAAGTAGTTCGAAACAGCAGAAGTGAGTCCGGACGGACGGATGGACGAACAGACAAAACGTAAAAATAGCACATTTTTTCTAATTCTTAAAAATGCACCAAAAAGATGTGCGATGCCGTCTTCGAGAAGAAGATCGAACCAAAAAAGATTATTTTATGGAAGGAAAAAGCTGTGCCAGAGAATACCCAAATGACTATCACCACAACCACAACACATAAAACTTCTCCAGGAAATTCAAAGGAAGAAGAGGAAGATTATCAATAGGTATCATGATCGATGGTGCGCAACAAACTGAAGAAATGTAGAAAAGAACAAGCAATCCACTAATGACCAAAGTATCTACACTACAGGATTATGAAAATGATGTTATGACGTGCTATGTAGGTAGGTACTTGGAAATTTTTCAAACGAGTAATCATATCAGATTCAGTCTCGTGCTCATTAATTGTTCGCTTATTTTTAGAATAATTTATAATCCTGCATTATACTAAATAATTAATTCTATCAAAAGTAAACCTTTATATTCGAAAACTATTTATCATTAGTAGGTAGTGTACAACCAAATGACGCCAGTGGAATGATTCCCATGAAAGTGGAATATACAAATTTCTATTTTATAGTTGCGAAAGAAAATAGCATAATAAATGATTTTGTTGTCGAATGATATCTATGACATAGAATTGGAGCACAATGAGGAAATTTACTTATGTGATAGATTAGCGAGTTTTATGAACCCGGTTTCTTTCTGTTGTTGACCTAGCAAGTCGATAAAAGTATGACGATTCCATAACGTCAGCGTCACGGAATCTACCAGATTTTATTTCACGAGAAAGTTACCAAGAACTTCAAACGTGCACCTCATATTCTACATCAGATTGCATACCTATACTACGATGGTGTCAGTTGCATTGCATTGCTATAATACCTATACCATTAAATAAAAAAACATTCTGCCACCTGAGGGATAATAGCCTAAAAATTAACTCTCACACAAATTTATGGAAACCCTTGATGAAGAAATCGTTGCATCAACCTAAAAAACGCTGGGACTTGCAAGGTACTGCCTGGGAATTGAAATACAGCAGCAAGCGAATCACATTCAACTTTCTCAGAGCGGTTATATACAAGAACTATTACACAAGTTCGACATGTTAAATTGCAAACCAAATGACACGTCTATGGCTCGTGGATGGCAACTCTTAAAATCGAAGGAGAAAAATACCGAAGAGGAAAATCCTTACAGACAACTAATGCGAGCATTGATGTACTTCGCTGTGGGTATACACGTCCCGATAGCAAATTTCCGTTCCCTATACAAGATGGTGATCGGTTGCACGAACTCTTATAGGATATGGAAGCAGTGAATGTTTTTACATATCCTATCCGATTTCGTGATTTGCTAGCGGCATATAGCATATTTGATAAACAGTGTCAAGTTATAAAAGAAGTGCAGTAAAGAAGACGCAAATAGAAAAATGTAGAACTGCGAACAAAATTTAGACCCGAATTTTGCGAAGTAGATGCAGTTAACTGGATCAAAGATTATTCAAAAGTTACAAAATCAAACTGGATTGTCCAACGGAATTACCAAGATCCAAAAAAATCGTAAAATATTTCATACTTTTCATTATTTTTTGTTTGTATCCAAAATTCCCTTTATTACTTGGTTCCAATGTTTTGAAAATGGAAATGAGGATAGTGCAATGTTCACATTACACATAATTGATCACAATCACGAAATCGGATAGGATATGTAAATTCACTACTTCCATATCCTATACGAGTTTGTATAAACTTTTATTTTTCATTTGCCTATTATATGTCAATTATATCTGTCATATGTGATATATGAAGCAGTCTATTACGCCCGCAAGGGCATAATGAGAGGGCATAATGGATTGTCATCTCATTATGCCCTCAAATGGCCTGTCAAATTGATTGACGGAGTTATATTATGTCATAAAAAAGATGCAACTTGATTCGTATGGAGCACTTTAATGTTGGGCAAACAATAATCATGACATTTGTATATTGGAAATGCATTCTTTGGAATGATGAAAAATAAAATGTTGTATGCACCTCAGGCATTACTCAATATTTAACCCTCGGGCGACTTACAATCCCTCGGGCCGGAGGCCCTCGGGCTCTGTCGCCCTCGGCATAAATATCGCCTTAATGCCCTTGATGCATAATAGTTATTTATGTATTAAGGGCATAATAGTGATGTTTATATTCTCGAGGGCGACGGCCCGAGAGCTTTTTAGTCGCCCGAGAGTATAAACATCAGTTTATGCCCGTGGTACATACACAATTTTATGTTTTACAAATACATTGC